TTGCTAGCGCTAGGAGGAATTCTGTCGAGAAGCAGTTGGACGGGTTTCGTAAACTGGTAAAACAGGTTTCTCATGGTCGTCATCTTGCATCATCAGTGAGTGAGCGTACTGATCCAGGTGAAGTTCTGAGTGTTAAGAAGCTAATCACCAATCAACTAGAGGAATGCATTGAAGAGTATAACAAACTACCTCTAGAAATAGAAGACAAAGGAGCCATTTTAACACGTCTAGATACACCTTCTTTAAGTAAAGAGATCAATGAGTTTGGAAGTGTCTCTGGTATAGATGCATACTCCATTGATAGTGGGTTAGCTATTCCACTGGCAACAGTAAAGAAAGAAAGGAAATTCAAAGTGGCTCTACCAGCAGGCATAGGTAAAGCAGCAAGCTATTTGAAGGGTTCCTTTATCAAAAGTAATGGTAGGAAAGATGAGGGTAGAGTTGTTATAGTTAATGATAACAACACAGCCATTGTATCATGCACACCTCAAAGTATTGGTAGATATGAACTATCAGTGACTATAAGAGGTCACCATATTAAAGGTAGTCCTTATCAACTGTCAGTAAAAGCATCAAGAGACTATACCACACTAACTAACCAGAGATCCTTTAATGTGGGGAGCGGTACTTATGGTGTTGCTGTTCATACTAATGGTGAAGTATTTGCTAGTAGTACTGATGGCTTTGTTCAGGTATTTAGTGAGGATGGTACTGCAGTAAGAAGGATTGGATCTAAAGGTAATGGTAATGGACAGTTTGAATGGCCTAGGAGTTTATTGCTGGTAAGAGACAGGCTCTATGTGTCTGATGATAATCTTCATCGTGTGCAGTATTTCTCAGCTACTACTGGTCAGTATATTGGTCAGTTTGGTGGTTTTGGTTTAGGAAATGGACAATTCTGTGGTCTTCGTGGTATGTCTACTGATGGTAAAGGTAATATATTAGTAGCTGATCACAGCAACAAAAGAGTACAAGTGTTTAAAGAAGATGGTACATTTGTACAAGTCATACAATGTGATGGTAATGCATCTGATGTAGCAGTTGATAATGAAGGAAAGATACACGTTACCATTTGGAGTCAATATCATGTTCAAGTTTTCTCTCCTGATGGTAAAACTCATCTTGATACATACAATAATCCAGCTGGTTGCTTTAATCATCCCAATGGTATTGCTATTGATAATGAAGGATATACCTTTGTATCGAGCAACAATGGCTATCTTAATGTATTGAGTCCTGACAGGAAACAAGTCAAATTAATCTCAAGATTATCTTTTCCATGGGGTGGAGCACTGGATAAGGATGGATATATTTATGTTGCTGAATCTGGCAACAAACGGATAATGAAATATTGAAAGTAGTCGTTCAATAAACTACATGTAGATAATTATGCTCAACTGTCATAATCTTACAAATTTTTGGTATGAAATAATTTTTTTTCACTCTCTATCTCATCTCTTTTCCCTTCCATCTTATTCCATCATAAATTGTTATAAATGAACTTGATTCAAAATTTTGACAATAAAGAAAAAGTAGAAAATCTCAAAATATCATCATCATCATTATATACTAGTACATATACATGTTCCTAGTGTACACTATAATACATTATACATATGTTTTATACATCATAGTTAGATCACTAGGTAAATCAGTACCTGATAATAAACTGGGTCTACTCTCTCTTCCATTTCTATTTGAATTTAAACTAGTTGTTTCTAAATAATCACGTAAATATGCAACTGCTAATGGCTGACATCTTGACACAAAATTAACCAGTGTTGCTGGTACTCCTCCCATATCAACCTATTCAATGTACGTCATGTTTGACTCCACCCACAACCACACCCACCTGCACAAGATACGTGACTTGTGTGAGTAGTATTTCTTTATAGCAATAAGGTTTGATGACCCAACCACTCGTCATGACCTAGTAAAACTTTGTAAATTCTAGTAATCTCGTTACATCTCTCTAACCTTTTCTCTAGTCTTTTGATTTCTTCTGTTACATTATTGAAGCTTATTGAGTTAGTTATAACGGTCAGAGACTACCTCTGATACTTCTTTTAGACACATAATTTGACTAAAAATTAAAAGAATATTTTAAAGATTTTAAAATTTCTTCCTACCTTATTAGCATCAAAATTACTCCAAAATTGAGGTAATAGCTTTATCTTGTAGTGATACTTTTAAATGTCCTGAATAAAAGTTAATCTACTTAGAAATAAGTAAAGAATTACCTTTTAAAAATTCTACACTAAGAGCCTCCATTTTGACACGTGGTTATAGTATACTAATTTTTAAACAGGTCTACTAATCCGTAAATTTTGAGGGGGTGTTAAAACCTTGGGTGGGGCTGCGTCATTTATTTTTCAAGTCTACAAAAAAACAACGCAGGAACTCTTATATCAGATTAAGTGAGTTAATTATTGTCAATAATAGTGAAATTATTCACTTTTTCATAGGCAGCAAT